AATGTACTTCAAAATAATACAGGCTGCATATGACAAAACTATAGCTAACACTGTTCTAAATGGGGAAAAAACTGAAGCCATTTCCTCTAAAGTTATGAACAAGACAAGGGTGTACACTCTCCCCACTTTTATTCAATATAGTGTTGGAATTTCTATCCAGAGCAATAAGGCAAGAAAATAAAGAGATACAATTAAGAAAGGAATGAACCAAATTTTGCTTATTTGCAGATGATAGGATTCCACACTTAAAAGACTCCGTAAAGACTCCACCAAATTCTCTTAGACCTGATAAGCATCTTAGGCAAAGTAGCAAGATATAAAATTAACACGCACACACACACACACACACACACACACAAAATCAATAGGTATTCTATACACCAACAATGAAGAGGTAGAGAGAAATCAGGAAACTAGTTCACTTCCATAGCCTCTAAAAAATAAAATACCTAGGAATCAACTCAAATTGGTGAACCCCGGCAGGCATTCTAGCAGCTCCAAGCCCATGCTCACTGCACACCCGACCAGAGCCATAGTGCCCTGAGGGTCCCGGAGCCACCAGCCAAGCTAGCCCGGAGCCTGGCGGGAAGGAGAAATCATTCTGCTCTGAAGGCAATCATTACCAAATGAGAAGGAAAGGATGATATCATCCAGGCTCTGCAGCAAGACATCCTCCCTCCCCATGAAGTGTTAAACAGTCCCCACTAGAGAAACACTGACCCACGCTCAGGATTGGCGCTTTCTGAGTGGAGTTAGTGCACCTGGAGCAGTGCTGCGTGGGCATCTGTCTTATCAGTTGAGCCGCAGCCTCACTTCTTTGATCTGTAGTTTTCGAAAAAAGACTGCTGAATGTTTAGTAATTTTGTAAATCATGTTCTTTAGAGTACCACTTATTTAGTAAGTCAGGATGTAAATTTACAATCACAAATGTGTATTCTAAAAAGGAAAATGATTGTTTTGAATGGCATTTCTGAAGAGAGGAGGGGAATAAATGCATGCTGTGTGCACCACTTGCAAATCCCGAAAAACACTCTGCCAGCTGAAGCCAGACAGGGCTGCTCTCTTTGTCTTGCCTGTCCAGCCCCTGCAGGAGAGGCTCCCAGAAAATTATTTATGGTAGAAAGTGTGCCCATTTTGTTTATAATGAAAAATGAATTTGCAAAGGTATATTGAGATGTATTTTTATACAGGCACATAATTCAACTTGGTTTGAGAGCAGAATGTGTGGCATGGTTATATAAATTGACTTTGGCCTGTGTGTGTTTTAATTTTGTAACTTGTAATCTTTTGTTTACAATGAGGAACTTTCTGTAATTTGTTTTAATTTAAAACACTTTGGTAGCAATTGAACTTTGGATACATTTTTTTACATGTGATGTATATAGAATTAGTACCTTATTTTTATTTTTAAGGGTAATAAATTATGTTAGGGGGAAAAAGCAGGGTGGGTTTCCAAATTTGTATTTTTTATATTAAAAATAAAGAGGAGATTTGGATTGTGTGGCCATTTCATTCTTGTATCAGTAGGAGGCTGGGCAGGCAAGCACTTAAAACACAAGGCAAACCTCTATGCTGTTGGATTTGGTAGTGAACACACATTCTTCATGTGTTTATTAGCATTTGTACTTCTTCTCTTGAGAACTTTTCAATTCTTTTGCTCATTTATTAATGGGATTATTTGTTCTTATGGTGTTTAATTTTTTGAGCAATTTGTATCTTCTGAATATTGTGCATTTCCCTATTGAATATCTGGCAAAGATTTTCACTCATTCTGTGGGTTGTTTTGTGTTTTTGGTAACTGTTTCTTTTGATGTGCAGAAGCTTTTTTAATTTGATGCAATCTTATTTGTCAATACCTACTCCTATTTCCTGTGCAATTGGAATCTAATTCAGAAAATAATTGCCCATGAAAATATTTTCAAGGATTTTTCCTGTTTTCCTGTAGTAGGTTAAAAGTTTCAAGTCTTATATTAGATTTTTGATACATTTTGAGTTGGTTTTGTACAGGTTAAGAGATAGTGGTCTAGCTTCTGGCTTTTACATATGGATACTGAGTTTTCCCTGCACCATTTGTTGAAGTGGCTATCTTTCCTCACATGTATAGTTTTGACTCCTTTGTCAAAAATCTGATGACTATAGCTGAATGGGCTTATTTTTGAATCTGTTGTTCTATGCCATTGGTCTTTGTGCATGTGTTTTAGTGTCAATGAAATGCTGTTTTTACACTTTGTCTCTAGAATAATTCAAAGCCCAATATTGTGATACCTCCACCATTGCTCTTTTTGCTCAAAATTTCTTTTACTATTTTGTATATTTAATGTTTGCATATGAACTTTAGTATTGAGTTTTTCCCCATTTCTATGAAGAGTGTTGGGATTTTGATAGAAATTTCACTAAACCTGTAGCTTGGTTTTGGAAGTATAGCCATTTTCACAATATTAATAGCCATGGTAAGCCATGAATACAGGAAGTCCTTTCACTTTAGGGTGTCTTCTTCAATTTCTTTCTTTAAGGTTTTATAGTTTTTGTTGTAGAGATCTTTCACTAACTTAATGAAGTTTATTCCTAGCATTTTTTCTGAGGCTATTGGGAATGGAATCGCTATTCTGATTTCTTTCTCAGCCTGTCCATTGTTGATATCAATATTATTTTCTTTCTTAAGTACACATTTATTTAATTTTACCAAAAGGGACAGTAATAGAAAACTTAAAAAGCTTCCAACCAAATTCATCTCTTTTATATAGGTAAAACTCAATGAGGAAAAATCAAGCATGGTGATATTGGATCCATTTGATGGGGAAAAAGTGGACATTTCAAACCATAAATCAAGCATTTAGTAAGTCTGTACAGTTAGCAAATGAGTCAACAAACCACTTATGCTAAATTTCACAAAACAGAAGCACTGAATGAACAGTACAAAATGGGATAGTATAAACTATTATACTTAGGAAATATTTAAAATATCACTTGGAAACAGAGTAAGAGTTTTTGGGTTACTAATCTTTTTGCCTATTTTCTCAAAAGGAAAAATTAAACTACTCTCAAAAGGCTTTTTCACAATTTCATTCAGCAGATATAGCTTTCAAATTCTCATTGCTCTCCCAGCTCTCTGAAATACAAGTTTTTAATACTTTAAATTCCACATGGGAACAATTTATAAAAACTAAGAAAATCAGGGAGATTGAGATATTTCTAGGTCTTTCTGCCCTCTCAGCATAAGAAAGCTTTCTTTTTTTGTGTTTGTTTGTTTTATTATTTTGCTAGGTGGGTGTACATTATGGCATCTACAAAAGTAACTTTATTTAGTATCAAATAACATAAGCTTATATCATATCCACAGAAATCCTGTAATTCCTAAATATTTCTTGAGCTTTCCACAAAAAGAAGAGAGAGCATGAACTCCATTCTCCCATTGTCTTGCTCTCTAAGTTCCTACTTCCTAACCTAAGTTTTAACTGGCCCTCTCCATTTTATCTCCTGAATTGTCCTCTAACTTCATTCCCTACAATGTCCACAGCATTTTTACTCTCATTCCCCCAAAAACTGTTAACCTATAGATATCATGGACTGTGTACCTATCATAAACCAAAAGCTTATGAACCATGGAGTGCAGCTACTGAACTACAAACTCATATAAAAATACTGTGAAAATTTTCATTGATTGTTCTCAACAGAGAGATCTCTGATATATTGAACATGTTTCTCTTTGGTTCCTGGATTATGAGACCTATTTTCACACAAGCTCCTATTCTTTCTACTAGAAGACCCTGAATAAATTTTAAATTTATTTCTCCAGAAAAGTCAGTCCTGAAGCCCAGTATATTGGCTCATTCTTTTAATGCTAGCACCTGGGAGGTGGAGGTAGGATGGTTTAGAATTCAAGGTCAGCTGGCTATGGAATGAGACCCTGTTTCAAAAAGCCAAAAAAAGTCCATCTTAATTCTAGGCTTGTCTGGTGGTACATGCCTTTCATCCCAGTGTTTTGGAGGTTGTGAGAGAAGGATTGCAAGTTGCTGAGTAGCCTTGGACTCTAGAAAGATAGCCTCAAGGAAGAAAAAAGAAAAAGAAAAGGAAGGAAGAGGGAGGGAGGATGGAAAGAAGGAAGGAAGAAAGGAAGGAAGGAAAGCATAAGTTCCCACCTTGAACCAATCATCTTTCAACAGTAATTGTGATGGTCCAACACACTTTCTCTTTCCCAAGAAAAAGAACCATCAAAAGGTTTACTTAAACAAACAAAAAAAATTAATGCAAAGAAAAGCCTTGGATTAATTCAAGAACCATTCAGGAATAAAGCACAAATTTCAAAGTAGAATTGTTACCTCAGATTTTGTTCTCAGTTAAATAAAACCAATAAAGTGAAGTACACAGAAAATAGATTAGAAAGGGTGGTAGAATTGAAATCAAGACACTAACAGTTTATTCTGGACTTCTTGTTTAGAAAGCTATATGGCCATAATTAAATTTTTAATCTTTTTGAGCTTCAGAATCTTATTTACACATTATGTTCATGGTAAATATAACATGAATGGCAAATATTTAATGCATAGTATTGACAGCTGCAATGTGGGATGTATTTAATAATCCACACAGAAACAACTGTATTGTGAAATATTCACATGTGAACATAACTGATTTCTGCCAAGCAAAGGATGCCAGAGCAGAGGCACACTTTCTGACTAATGCTTGACTTCAAGTGGGAAATGAGAACTGTTCTGCCTACTGTCAACTAATACTCTATCTAATCACAGGTAGAACTGTTCATTAGTTTTTAGGATGTAATCCATAACAGCAATACAAAAAGAAATGAATGACATACTTATTATTTTTGGACAGGTAAAATGGTGAAAAGAAGTTGTAAATAAAAATGAAAAATACACTGCAAAATTAAAACAAAACAGTTCCCAGTTACCCTTCATGCAGTAAGAAAGATGTAAGGTAAAAATCTCCCAATAAAAAGGTGTTAATTAAAAACACAGAACCTGGAGAGATTCAATTTCTTATCAAAACTTTCTTCTGCTCAGGGTTTTTCTCAGAGCAATTTTAACATCTTTATTCCTCAAGCTATAGATTAAGGGGTTCAACATGGGAACCACAATAGTATAAAAGACAGAAGAGATCTTTCCTTCATCCATAGATAGAGCTGATGAGGGTTTGAGATACATAAATGCACCAGATCCAAAGAATAGAGAAACTGCAATTATGTGGGAACTGCAGGTGCTGAAAGCTTTGAACCTACCCTCAGTAGACCTTATTTGGTAAATGTTGGGAAGGATGAATCCATATGAGATAAAGATTATGAAGGTAGGCACAATGATGTCTTTTCCTCCGACAATGAAAATTTCTACTTCATTGACATAGGTGCTGGTACAAGAGAGCTGGAGCAGGGGAAGCATATCACAGAAATAGTGGTTGATGATGTTTCCATCACAGAAGGTCAGTGTCAGCATGCTTCCAGTGTAAATCATGGCATCAAAAAATGCCATCAAGTATGAAGCAAATATAAGGTAGGAACACACTTTAGGAGACATGGCAGTGTTATACAAAAGTGGATTGCAAATGGCCACATAGCGATCATAAGCCATTGATGTCAGCACATAGCATTCAGAAATGGCAAAAAAACAAAAACAGTGAAGCTGGGTCATACATCCCATGTAAGAGATAACATTCTTGCTTAATAAGTTTACCAGCATTTTGGGTGTAGTCACAGAAGAATAACAGAAGTCTATAAAGGACAAGTTAAAAAGAAAAAGGTACATTGGGGTGTGAAGGTGTGTATTCATCACAATTAGGATTATCAAACTCAAATTTCCCAATGCAGTGACGATATACATCACTAGAAATAGGATCCATAGGGGAATTTGGAGGTCAGGTTCTTCTGTTAGCCCCATTAGAATGAATTCCGTCACAAATGAACCATTTGTAGGACCTATTCTGTAAAAGAATCTGTGAAGATAGGAAAAAGTTTGACATTAGAGGACAATTCAGCCCATCCAACAATATCTTCTCCCACAAATGTGAGAGATATGCTGAAAATGACTGAAACTATCAAGCTGAATGGTGAGAACCTATCTCTACTTCTACCATGATACTTAGTGACATTGTCTTACCTCTCTTAATGTTTCAACAACTAAATACAGTTAAAAGCATCACCAAGTTAACTTAAAGAGTAAAGCCAGTGCTGTCATATGGAAATCAATTGTTAGAAAAACCAAAGAAGAAGATGAAAGAAGCTGGGCCAGGATTGGACTGCCCTTCTCTCACCTCACATTGATTTCATTTCTTCAGTCCTCCCTTCTCTAATAAAATTGCAGGCAGAAGCATTAGAAACCTGATGCTGACCTCCAATGCAGATCACACTCTTGTGGCATTGGACCATGAGCATTGCTTCTAATCTAAAACAAAGGAAGCTGAGTCTAGAGAAGGTTAATTTACTTCCCATGTCTCAGAAAAATACACAAATCTAAAAAAGCAGGAGGTTTGTCTGTGGAGAGGGAACTTATGATTACTTCACTGCAATCCCTGTGTCTGTCCACTGATTCTCTCAACATTCTTTGCTCCCCATTCAAAGGGATTCATCTACCAATTTTACTTGAATCATAAAATCAAACAAAATGGAAAGAAAATGCAATATCTCTTATTCCCTGGACTTCATCTTAAAAGAGGAGGGTATTATGCTAACATATAATAAGCAAGATACTGGAGGAGAGAAATTGTGCATATCTCTCCTATATGTACAATCTAAAACAGTTACATTTGTTTAAGCACAGAGTAAGATGTTGGTAACCATGACCAGTGATAGAGAACATAAGTGATATTGCCAAGGGTAAAATGGTTCATTTATTAGCATCATTAGGTGTGGTGATCTAATGCACAACATGTTAACAGTAAGTAAAAACACTCTATTGTATACTTGGAATTTAATAAAGAGATATATCTTAAAATTAAAATGTGTATACACACTTACAAGAAATACACACCAGGATAATTACACAGAGGTTATGGATATGTTAATTAGCATTGTTTTTCTGTCATTTCACAATGCATATACTATTCAAAACAACTTGTATTATTTCATAATAACATTTATGTTTCAATGACAGCTCAAGTAAGCCATTAATTAAAAAGTAAGATATTAATACAAATAGATTTCAAAACTTACCCTCCTTAATAAGGAAAACTTTGGTGCTTCCTTGTCACTGTGATTTACCCCTGTGGGGTTGGCAGGGCAATATCAGACTCTAAAGCTTTATTTCTTTTGTTCTAAGAAGAGCAGCAAAACATACTTTCTCATATACCCTGGAAATCTTTCTCAGCTACTGGTAAATAATTTATAATGGTAACTCTTAGTCCGTTAAAGCATCAGTGAAAAATGAACAGCTCTTTATATTTTCACATTCACCATCTGATGAGACAACAGAACTTTTTACAAGAATTTAATAACATAGTGGTCTTGGCTACAAGCAAGGTAAAAGTATCCCCAGTCTCTTTCCTGAGGAAATACTCCAAGTTTAAAAGGTAAATGAGGTGATTGTGTTTATGTATTAGTCCACGATGTGTCCTTTGTTCCTGAGGGACTCCATATTTCATTCAAGTATTTGACTCTCTTTAGAGATTGTACATCCTCTAGGGTTGAGACAATGTTAAACTCCCATTGCCCCATCACCTTGATCTCTTAAGGGAAATCTACTGTTTTTACTCTTTCTCTGTTCTCACACTTTTAATGACAATATTCTACAGAATTTACCCCCAGACTTCCTCAGATCTTGATCTAAACATTCCAAGAGTTGCAGCAACTCACTTCAGGTATTATCTGTCCTGAGATATCTTCAGAATCACCTCTAATTGTTGCATTCCTATTAAAGGTTATTTAAGAAGACTTAACTGAAATTTTCCATGATAATCCTGCTGAATCCTCATTTGTAACACTTTAGTGATGAGGTCAGCAATTTCTAAACTCCTCATAGAAAATAATGCAGGATAAAAAGTAACAGAGTCTCTGTTTCAATGTTTCCCCTACACGTCTTTATTATGATAACTTGGACAAATTATATAACATCTCTGTTCCTCATGCATACCTTTGCAAACCTGGGATGACAAAAATAGTCTATCTATCATTGGTTTGTTATAGCATTTAAACAGAAAAAGATGAGGATATGATTTATATAATAGCCTGTATATGAGGAAGAGTCAAATGTCATTTATAAGTACAGGTGCTCTTGCACTTATGAAGAGGTTATGTATAGAATGATTCATTGACAATTGAAAATATCCTAAATTCAAAATGTTTTTACTACCTCTAACCCACCTACTTTAAATGTGCTCTGAACACTGATGTTACCACATGATTGCATATCACAATATTATATCACTTTTCACTAACCAGGGAAATGATCAAAATTAAAATTCAAAGTACAGTTTCTACATTTAGTAGAAACATGCATTTAGCATGCTATTTTCACTCTATCACAAAGCCAATAATTATAAATAGAATCACTGTAAACTGAGGATCATCTATTTTTTATGTACTCATTCTTTCCCAGACATGCTCCATCATATCACTTATTAGAAATGACTTTTCCCTTTTAAATCCCTTTGTTATTCTAAAAAGTATAACTCTACAACTCTTTAAAGCATTTTATTTGTATATGATAGTTATACAGGGGTTTTCATTGTGTCATTTCCAAATGTATATGTATTATACAACTATTTGGTTCATTCTCTCCATTATTCTCCCTCCCATCTCATCCTCCTTTTTAAAGTGACATCGACAGATATCAATGTTCCATATTCACATTTTTATAGAAAGAACATCAATTATATTCACTGTCTTCATTTACTTTTCTCTTTCCAAAAGTGCCCCCACCTTAACCTGAACTATTTTGCATTCCTGACCTTCATTGTTTTTAAAAAAGTCTGTTCTTTGTTCAGTGAGGATTTTGCATTGGTACTTTACCTGTAAATATACTGTGCTTAAATAAGCCTAACTCCCTTGACTACTATGCCCCACTCTTTCCCTGCCACTCTGCATTGTTCAACAGTTTTCAGTGTGTTTTGTTGTTCCTTATTCCTACACAGATGTGATGTATTTCATAATTTTTCACTATCATTCTTCTTTTCCTCCTCGCTTAGGCACCTCTAAAAGTTTCACTTTTGGAAACATCTTTTGTATATGTTTATATACAAATTAAGCAAAAATTGCATCAAATATGCACAAGGCCTAAACTTATAAAATCCTCTTAAAAACCTTATAAGGCAAAACTTTATGCTATTGGATTTGTCAGTTATTTGTTGTGCAGGACACCAGAGTTACAAGCAATGAAAGATGAATAGTCAAGTTAGACTTCTTGAAAATATTTTATCAGGATCAATAATCATTAGAGAAATGTAAATCAAAACTATAATGAGATAGAACCTTAATCCCAGTAGGGTAGCCACTAGTTTTTAAATGGTGGAACATAATTGTTTTTTAAATCATGGAACATAACATTGTTGGCAGGGATATTAGAAATTGGTACCATTTTGCGTTCTTTGGTGGAACGTAATATGGTACGCAAACTTTGGAAAATTTATATCATAGCCAAAAGCCTGCAAAGCTATTACAATGTGGAAAATAATATGGCAACTCCTTCAAAAAAACATAGAATTAACTCTTGATTCAGCAATTCCACATTTAGGTACATGTTCAAATGAATTAAAAGAAGGTATTCCAAGGTGTATTTGTACACATGTTAAACAGCATTATTCACTATAGCTAAAACATAGAAGCAAACTAAGTGGTACTTTTAACATATGAAGAGATAAGCAAATGTATAGTATGATATGTAGCACATGGATAAGCTTTGGAAACATAGCAAGTGCACTAATCTAGCCACTTCTATGAGGTTTTTATAGTAGTCAGTCAAAGAGTCAGAAATTAGAATAGTGGTTGCCTTAGGCTGGGAGGAGGGAGGAAAGGAAAATTAATGTTTAGTGGATACAGAGTCCCAATTTTGCATGATAGAAAGAATATTGCAGTTGGTTAGTGGTAATGATTGCACAATATTATGGATATATTTAATGCCACTGAACTATATATTTAAAATTGTTAAGATGATACATTGTATATAAAATATTTAATCACAATTTAAAAATTGGAGCAAAAAGAAAGGAACATGAGAATGATAACAAATAATATTTTAAGAATTCCTTTTCATTGGATGACTTCTGAGAAATATTGAAAGGGTAGAAAAGATGAAATTACCTAATGTGCAATAAGAAATATATCCTCTTTACTCTATCACTAACCTAAGCCCAGTGATATTTAATGCCCTAGAAATCTACACCATCATGGTACACTGACTTTCACACATCCATAAAACCCACATTTGTGGAGTTTCACATTTGATATGGTAAAGGGAATAAACAGTCCATGTCCTGGCCCAGTCTAGATTTCTTTGTATATTTTACCTGCTGGCCATGTCCTAAATGAGACATTTTCTATGAGGAATGCATTCCCAGAGAACCTTATTCTCATTCCTTGTTTATGGATTATTATATTACTCACATGGACCAGAGCCCTAGTCAAAGTTCTATAACCTATTAATTGTGAAATTTACAATAAATGCAAATAGAAAGGCACATTAATTTATCCATTTACTATAAGTACCTAAAAATCATAATACATATCTATAAATAGAATATTGTGAGTAACCCATATCCCTTGATTTGTCCATTCTTGATTGTGGCTCTATCCATTCTTCCTTGTCCATACTGGTTGTGTTAAGTCTCTGGCTTTGCTTTATAGCTTCTTTACCTACATGGGGTTCACATTCAGCACACAGACAGAAAAAGTGAAAGGGACACCACCGGGTTCTGGAACAATGTCCATCAAATTTCAAACTGTCTTAGGCCACATCACAGAAGGAGACACTGGGGAATATGTGTTCTAGAGGATGAGGTGAAGAGCAGTCATCTCTGCAACATTGGACCACTCATGTTGGTGCCAAATGTGATGTGAGATTTGATGAGATATTGAATGCATGGATTTATGGCTGCCCCTATGACTGAATAGACACGCAAAAGCAAAAATGATGACAGAGGTCATTCATCTGTTTCTGTTTAATGGATAGGCAAGTATGAGATAATGCTGTATTTATACATTCTAAGTCAAGCAATAGAGCTATGAAAGACGAACTGTGGAGAAGGCCTTCTGGACATGTTTTAAAGTGGCATATTTAGTGCTTATAGGGTTTTTTATTCATTAAATCATTTTTTCATGTTGCACTAAATTAAAAAAAATATAAATTTTCTATAATTGTAAAATACCTTCTTTGTGTGTATATACTGTATTTTTATTTTTTAATTTTTTTCTTTATTCATTTATTCATATGTGCATACATTGTTTAGGCCATTTCTCCCCTCACCCCCCTCAGCCCAGTATCAGCTAGTCAGCACAATAGCTTGCAAATTATGAGTTTCAATAAGTCATGAAAATATCTGAGCATCAAGATTATTGCATTCTAAATGGGAGCAATGATCCCTGCCCTTGCTATTTTCCACATCTGACCTAAGGAGCGTAGAAACTGGCAGATGGGACAGTGAAGAGGAAACTGTGCCCAACACTGCTCATGGGGGCACTGTACCATAGGCACGTGTATCAGCACTGAGTTTAGAAGTTGGTTAACACTATGTTTGAGAAGATTTTTAATCTGTGCAGGTGATTCTACCAGCCACACACACTCACTGAAAAAGATGAAGTCTCTGCCTTCAGAAGAGATTTCAATGTTAAAGGTGCATGTTTTGTATAAAACAGACCAGCAGATGAACCACTCCCTTCATCTAGGTTCTGCTAAATACTGAGATATCCCAATGATAAAAACAAAAACCAGTAGAGCCAGACTTCTGGAAAAATTCCATGTTGGTCCTCACCATGATTATTATGCCAGCAGAATTAATTTTCATTAATACTGACTATAAAACCATTTGGAATTTGTCCCATGCAGGAAATCACTGTATTATGTGGCATTATGAAAATTTACCTGTGAAATTTTCTCTGACCACATTTTATTTTTGTTGGTGGCATACATACCCAAAGTGAAAGGTTTGATGATATATATATATAGAAAAATTAAAACAACTAGTAGGAGGATACAAGATGACAATTAGTAGCAAGCAGCCCTTTCCAGCTCCTCAATAGCTCAGGATCAAAACAGCCAAGAAAACAGATTCTTAGAGAGATAGCCGACTGAGTGATGCAGCAAAGTTTAAAATTGAGCAAAAACTTGGACAGACCCAGAGACTTCAGTTATTGGCACAGAGGGCAAAAAATAGCACCTTAACATTAACCTCAAGTGATCAAGCGTCATGGCAGAGGGGCACAGTAACAGAAAGGAACCGAACTAAAGACCTACTAGGGAAAAACTGACACAGACACAGAGGCTGAACAGAAATGCATCTGAACTCAGCTGATCTGAGAGCTACACAACATGCTGGTACTTGAGAAGTACTCTGTGTACTTCAAGGCAAAAGCCTGGTGCTGTAATTGGGAAAATTGCACCCAAGTTTGGTCTTCTGGAAAACAATACCATACATTCTTCTCTCATTTGGAACTCACATCCATTATTGCCATATCATCCCAGAGAGCATCTACCTTGTGACCAAGTATAGCCCCAGTAGAACATAATCAAGGAAAGTTCATTGACAAGTTATATGAGTCAGAGACAGGAAAAGGAGTGGAGCCCACTTTCCCTTTTATGACTGGCAGCTCTGGCAGCCAACTTAAAAGGATTGGGAAACTGTCCAGACAGACAGGATTGCCTTCAGGAACTGTGCCTCAGAAAACCATAGTGGACAGGTGGAAAGCATAGGACCTCCTGAACAATTTCCACTTTTAGTTGCCTCACTGTGGAATCTGAGATCCAGGCCCACAGTGGAGCTTGATGTCAGTCATGCCCTGGGAGTATGTAGAGCTGATCTGTCTGAAGTAAACTCCAGTGTAGGAAACTGGTTCCACACTACTTATGCTAGGAAGCAGGGACTGAATGCTATTCTCACCATATCTGGTCTCAAAGGATTCCCATTGACTTACTGGTGATCATAAAAGTCAGAAGAAGGAGTGAATTTCTCACCCTTTGCTCTGTCTAAGAGGCGCATAGCCTGAGAAGCAGAAACAAGTGGAGGTTGGAAGAAACTGTGCATATATACTCATGATTGACTGACCAGCCCAGTGTAGAAAATGCCTTCTTGCCTTTATATGTTTATTATTTTTTATTAAGACTTTTTATTGTATTTGCTGATTGGAGATTGGTATATGTATGCAAATGTGTGTGTGTATGTGTGTGTGTGGAGAGAGAGCGAATGTAATAGATGTACAAAAAAGTAAGATTATCTAGATAGATATCAGGATAGATAGATATCTAGACAGATGATAGATAGATAGATAGATAGATAGATAGATAGGTAGATAATCTTTCTTACATTTTTGCAATTATGGCCCTCACTTTCCACTTTTCCTTCTTTCTCCCTCTTCACTGTTTGAATATTCAAACATGTCTTTTGTTTTCCATTACATAATTATTTTTTCTCTAAGCCTAAACTTCATTATTTTTGGTGTCAAAGAAAGAGCCCGGGTACAGAATCTCAAAGTATGCAGGAGTAGCTACACTCATGTTGGGAAAAACAGATTTCAAGTCAAAACTTGTCAGAAGAGCAAAAATCTCATTAAATATTGGTAAAAGAACAATACCTCAAGTTATGTAAGGTTTGAAAATGAAAGCTGCTGCACATAATTTTCTAATACAAACCAAAATGCATATAAAAAGACAGAAAGCCTCCACCACAATAACAGTGGGTGAATTAAAAACCACACTCACACCAATAGATGGGTCATCCTGACAATAAATCAACCAAGAAGCTTGAGAGCTAAACTACAATGTAGGACAAATGGACTTAACAGACATTTAAAAAATATTCCATCCAACAATTATGGAATACACATTTTTTTCAGCATCTCATTGAGCTTTCCCCAAAATAAGCCACATTTCAGGCTATAAAACAAATCTTAACCAATACAAAAGAAAAGAAAAAATTTCTGATATCTTATCATGTAATACTGGAAAAAAACTAGAACTCAATAGCACAAGAAACTGCAGACATTGTACAAAAGAATGACAATACAACAATATAGTTTGAAATGACCAGTGGGTGACTGAAAAAGTCAAGATGGAAAGCAAGAAATTTCTAATATTAAATGACAATGAAAACACAAAACATCAAAATTGGATGGAAACAGCAAAGGGAGTTTTAGGATAGAAGTTTGCAGTTTGGAGTCTCTAAATTAAAAGAGAGATTTCAAATAAAACACCTCAACGTCTTAGGAAAAGAACAAGTAAAAAACAAAAACCATCAATAGAATAGAAAGAAACAAAATCAGAGCTGAACCTATTGAAAGTGAAATCAAAAGAATAACGTGGAGGATAAAGGAAATAAAGAGTTGGTTCTTTGAAAGTGTTAATAAGATTAACAAAATCTTATCAAAACTAACCAAAAGAAACAGAGAGGAATCTTGAACTATAGAACTAGAAACAAAAAGGAACTATTACAACAAGTATCATAGAAAAAACAGAAGATCAGTAGGGATTATCTAGAGAACTTATGCTCCAATAAATTGGAAAATGTAGAGGAAATTGATAAATGTCTGCAAGCAGAGCCACTGATAATTTCTAGGCACATAGATCCAAGAAAATTAAAAACCAAACCAAATCAGTAACAAATAATGAGATTGATATAGTAAGAAGTCTCCAAACAAAGACATATCCAGGACTGAATGTATTCACTCCTGTACCTTACCAGATCTTTAAAGAAGAACTAACACTAATATTTCTGACACTGTTCCATGAAGTAGAAAAAGAATGCTTCCAAATTCGTTCTATGAATACAGCATTACCCCAATAACAAAAATGAATAAGAACACAACCAAAAAATGAAAGCCATCTACCAAAATTCTTGATGAGCATGGACATAATTATCCACATTAAAACACTTTCAGCCTAACTTCAACAGTGCATTAACAAATCAATAAGTGTAATGATGGGAATCAGTGTGGAGTTTCCTAAAAAATTATAAATAGAGCTTTCATATGATCTAGTCACACCACATCTGGATATATATCCTACAGTGTCAAAGTCAGCTTATTGCAGAGATTCCTGCAAACTCCTGTTTATTATGGCACTGCTCAAATTGCCACATGGAATCAATCTCAGTGTCTATCAACAGATGAATAGATAAAGAAAAAGTGGTATAAACACACAATGTAGTTTCACTAAGCCATAAAGAAGTATGACATATGTCACTTCCTAGAAAATTGATGGAACTGGAGGTCATAATACCAGGTGAAATAAGCCAGTCTCACAAAGGCAGGCACTGCAGTTCTTCTCCAATCTGTGGAAGCTGGGGTAAAGAACATAAAACAAGGTTATGAAAGTAAAATGGGGAATACTGTGAGGTAGAATGGGCGGGGAGAAGCAGAAGTGGGATAAGAAACAGTAATAGAGGGCATGAACGTGATCTGAGTGCATTGTATGTGTGCATGGGTACATCACAATGAATCCACTCAGTTTATACAATTAATATGCACAAATAGAACAAAAAGATGCATGAATGGGTCAACATAGGCAAACCAATAAATGTAACACAGCACATAAAACAGAATCAATGACAAAAGTCACATGATCATCTCGATGCAAAAAGAAGAGCAGAATAGTGACAAAATTTACCAACCTTTCATGATAAAAGTCCAGAGTAAACTACAAATGTAAGTTTCACAGCTTAACATAGTAAAGACTAGCTATGACAAACCCATAGCCAAGATCATACAGAATAGGCAAGAGTAAAAGCATTTCTTCTAAAATCAAGAAGACAGTGTTTATATTCAAGCTAGAACTGGAATTTTTAATAGAACAATACAGAAAGCAAAAGATAAAAGGGAAGCCAGACATGAGGGTTCACGCAGGCAACACATGTTTCTTAGGAGGTTGACATCATAAGAATTATAATTTCCCAGCCAGCTCAGGCAAAAGTTAGTGAGACCCAATCTCAACTAATAAGCCAGGCAGGGAGGGAAATGCCTGTGATTTCAGCTACATGGGAGGCTATAGATAGGAGAATCATGGTCTAGACTAGCAAAGACAAAAACAGGAGATGCTACTAGAAAGATAACTAAAGCAAGGAATCAAAGAAAGGCTATGGGCAATGGTAGAGCCCCTGCCTAGCAAGCATGAGTCTCTGAGTTCAAATCCCCATATTGCCAAAGGAAAGAAAGAAACAGGTAAAAAGAAATAAAAGTGAAGCAAACAGAAGAGGAAGAAGTCAAATTATAGTTACTTGTTGATATGATCCTGTATTTAGAAGGCTGTGCAAAGACTACACCAAAAAATTTTTAGATCGGATAAACAAATACAAAATAAAAGCAGGAAAGAAACCCAACATACAAAAAAAATGGTAGCTATTTTATAAGCCAATAACTAAATCACAGAGATAGAAATTGGTAAAATAATCACATTAACAATAGTTTTAAGAATGAAAATACTGAGCAGTAACCCTAATTCAGCAGGTAAAATTCCTTTAAAATAGAAACTACAAAGCAAAGCAATAAGTAAATTGATGAAATAAGACACAAGAAAAATGAAACTACTCTTCTGTTCATTATTGGCAACATTAATACTGTGAAAAATGGTTATATCACCAAAAGTGATAGGTAGATTCTATGCAAAACTCACAAAAATTCCAATAACATTTGTCACAGAATAGCAAACCAACACTAAAATTCATATAGAAGCACAAGAGACCCTAAATAGCCAATGCAATCTGGTGCAAAAAGACTAATGTTGGAAAGTAAAACAATACCCTATTTCAAAGTATACTACAGAGCCATATTAAATAAAATATCATAGTACTCTCAGAAAACTAGATAATACACTAATGGACTAGAACAGAGGACTGTTCTATTTCTCAATAAAGTTGTCAAAAACATACATTGGAGAAAAGACAGCCAGATTTGCACATGGTGCTGGATAAACTGGATGTTCACATGTAGAAGACAAAAACTAGATCCCTGTATAAAAATATATTAAAAATGGATCAAATACCTTAACTTTTAAAATCACTACAAATAAACATGGAGGGAGCATTTCAAGATAAATCAACAAATCAGATAAACTAAAAATGGATAAATTCCTGGGAACCTGTGATCTACTAAAATTGAACTATGAGGAATTGGGAAAATCTAAATAGACAATCAGTAAGATGATTGACATACTAATGAAATGTCTTCTAAAAAAATTCAGGATCTGATGGCTTTACCACTAAATTCTACCAAATATGTAAAGTAATAATAATGATTTCTCACAAATTTTCCAAAAACTGAAACAGAAAGGAAAATTTCCTAATTCATTTTATAAGGCCAGTATTATTAATACCAAAACCAGTTAAGGACATTACAAGTAATAAAAGGTCTGGTCAATATCTTTCAGCTTAATAAAATAAACATTCTCAAAAAATGCAATCAAACTGAGTTCAACAATGTATAAAATAGACAGTTCACCATGACCAAGTGAATTTTATGTATGGGATGCAAAAAATATTCCAATGTAAGTGTATTAATAATGTTAAACAAAAATTAGCAGAATGAATGACCAAATTCATATAATTATTTCATTAGAGGAAGAAAAATATTTCCCAAAATTCAATAAACTTTACAACAAAAGAACTTTCAAGGAATGAGACATAGAAAGAATGCAACACAGTAAAGACCGAATAGGATAAACCTACAGCTAACATCATACTCAATTTTGAACAATCAAAAGCCCTTCCTCTAAAATTCCACATGGGACAGGGATGCCTACTCTTGGCACTTCTGTTCAATAGTCACTAAGAGGTTCCAGTAGAGCATTTGGGAAGGAGAAGGAGATAAAAGTAGAAACAGAAATAGAAAATGAAGAAATGAAATTATTATAGCTATTTGCTGATAATATGGTATTTTTATTAGCATATATTATTTGTACAAAGGTGTTTCATTGTGATATTTCCCCAGATGTGTACAATGTACTTGAATCAAATTCACCACCTCTATCACTCCTCCTCACCTTCCTCCCCTC